ATTCTTGATGCTAGAAATGGCTGTGAAGTCATTCTCCTTTACTACATTCCCAACAGCTATTCAAGGTAATCACAGATCAAAGGCTGTGGACCCAGCTGCCTCCTCATCTCACCCTCTCTGATGCCCCTGCGTAGCTCCTTTCTGCATTTTTAATAACCACATGTATTAGAAATCGGCCCAGTGCTGAAGCCTTCGGGAGCCTGTCTCTCCAAGTTCAGGAGCCAAAGATTGAGACTTCATAGGTGTCTCCGAGGACAGACAGTATTACTCCTCTAACCACATCAAAAAATTGTGCTGGCTGCTCTGATGATGTTGGTATTTTATAGATCACAATCGAGTTTTCTAACTCATTCTGTCTGCCTCTTCTCATGAATCACCTATCAGGAAACCTCAGGTTCATGGCACAGGAGTATTTCAGGAATTCAACGTGGGTGGAAGGGCTCTGTTAGTTAAGACCTCCCCATCAGGACGCGGACTAGGTCAGCAACGGAGCTGGCGGTATTTTCAATTGCTGGAGAAAATAACCCATTTGTGTGTCAGTGATGGAATGTCAGTCATTGTCAGAAGGTCCAGCTGGGTGAGAGGGCTAAAGCGTATCTGGTGACCTCCCTTTACTCTCCATAAATTGTACTTTGCAAATGGGACCCAGGAGTCTCTGGTCCTGGATGTGGCTGATACTCGGGCAGCTCTGAAGACTCTTCAGTAAGGAACTTCCGAAGGCCACCCTCAACACTTGGGCCAGCATCTCTGCCTGGTAGCTTGCAAAGTCCTTGACACCCGCATCTCCTCCTAAATCCTGGGAATTCCTAAGCACTTGTGTGAACCTTTCACACCTTAGATGTGTCCCTTCCAGCTTCTTCTCTGGTGTGTTTTTCCAGAGAATTCACTCAATGGCATCCTGGAGAGGACAACCGGCCTCTGAAGGCTGTTACATAACTTTCATTCTGTGTTCCTGTTTAGGAGATTCGGGCGACCAGCACCTTCCAAAGCAACCCAGGTGTCATTCTGAGATCCCTTTCCACCAAACCCTGGGACCATGTAGAAGCTAAAGGAGTTATTTTAGCTTCCCCCAAAGAACTGCCAACACCAACCCTTTTAAGGTTATATTTGGCTTACTGAATCTCTTTGGGAATGAATATATTTGACACCCTGTAGTTAACTGTCCTAAAAAAAAAGTCCATTTAATTTAGAAATCTATCAGTAATCAAGTCACCCCCATTTTCCTGACATCAAATCTGCATGCTTTTGTCAATGCCAGGCATTATTTAGCAATTCAGGACTAAGGACACAATTTGGTTAGGGGACACACTGCAGTAATGCGGAAACGAGGTATAGTACCGGGCGACTTAAACGCTAGCAGTGTATTTAAAATGTTGCTGGGCTCTGAGTTTGCTGATCCTGAGAGCTCTGAGCCTAGCTTCCTCATCTGACACATGAGGTCAATAATGTCTGCTTTGCAAAGTTGTAAGACAAAATGTGGCTACTTTCTCTCACCCTCTCTATCTGAAAATGACTTCACCAGGAAGCCTGGCCCCAGGCAATGGCTATGCAGGTGTCCCAAGGAAGCTGGCAAGCACCCTGCTGCCGATCCACGCACGGCTCACCATTTTCAGCTTCAGCTAAGTTCAAGGCTCTAATTAAAGTATTTTTCATTTTCAAAACAAATGCAAACAGCAATTACGTACTTCCCCTCCTTTCCTTCCAGGAAGAGGCTGAGACTGAGTTGAAATCCCTGAGTCCCTTGGACTGCGAGGCTTTACAGATAGAACGACATATTCTTCCTACCCCATTGACCCACATTACATAATGGTTCCTGTGTCTCCTGCCACATGGATTCCAGAGAGGGTCAGGGCTCATTATGGTGCACTCAGACGTGTGGCAAGACTCCATCATGTAAGGAAACCCTGACGGGGAAACTGGCATAGTCACCTTCAGGATCAAAGTCCCATCACCACACATTTAGAGTACTGAGTCTCCACGTAGGGTAAAACAATGCACCTTTGATAACGACCAGTTCCTCATCGTTCATGTGGATGTCTAGTTGAAAATGTTACATAACCTTAACGTACAAAGCATTCTGGAGCTTTTAATAACGAGTTGCATCCAAATTGTGAGGATTCTTCAAGCTTAGAGTTAGAGGAGGTCTGGTACACACACACGCACACACACACACACACACGCAACCCATTGCATATATGTAAACCGAGATCCAGAGAAAGAACAATCTACCCAAGACCACAAAGCAAAGCAGCAAGAGAGTCAGGACTCAGTTCCAGGTTTCCTGATCCCTGGAGGCTGTTCCTTTCCTCTGTGGCTTCATGTGTCCACGCGTGTAAGAACAACACAGGCTGCAGCACTTGAACTGGGACCTCACAGCTTTGATTGAGCAGGACAGCCATGAACAAGAGAGCTCATAGTCCAAGCTCCTGAGTTAGAAATGGCAAGCTAATGCCTTGTCATTGCCATTTATTTAAGAAACATACCATCCTGCACTCCCCCAAGACATCTGGGCACTTCTACCACATTCTACATGCAGTCACTCTGGGTATGGTAATGGAAGATCCTGGCTTTCAAGACCTTCCCCAAAAGAAGCATTTGTTCTTGCCTGCACGTTTTCATGCTGGGGGAAAGAAGAGCAAAAAATGTGAGAAAACTGACAAATTAAAAATCAAGAACCAGGAAGGGGAGTAATGGTTTATTGTGGAATCTGGCTTTGGTTATTAGTAGTATGATATATGATCTGAAAATTGTTATTTCATAATTATGTTAACATTTTCCAAAGTAACTTAATGGAAATTGTTTCTCTGCATTCATTTTTTACTCAAAACCTCACCAGTGAATCACGAGGAGCTAAATCACAACACTGGGAGAGAACAACGTCGCCACACAGAAGGCATTGTGTTCCCCCCACAGACCCCATGAGCTTGTCAAAATCGAAAGCCTGGGTCTGGTTTCATCAACTGCAAATAGTCACGGAACCTGCTGGGATCTTAGTTTCTGGGAAAAAGGTGGTACATGCCCATTTCATTCGGGATTCAGTAACACTTTAAAAGGTTCATCAATCCGCATCTTAAAAAGAATGATGACAACCCCATTAACAGCCATAGGTCAAGTTGATGCATTTAGCTGTAATTAACAGGCCAAAGCAAACTCAAGGTCTGAACACCCTAGTCACCCACTTTCCTTGTCTCAGGCCTCTGTGTCCAGGCTCCACCTCTCCCTAACATCACCAGCAGATGACAGAGCTGGGAGATTAAACCATCTCTTTATTTGCTTGCACTAACTGTTCAGGCTGAGAAGGTTTTACCTATGCAAATATGATTGATTCATTCTGAGATGGACAGGACACGCTCAGTGGCTTGCTGCTTTCTAGCCTTCAGGGTATCTAGTTGATACATTTCATCTGTTCTTAGGGACTAATGTCATCTCTCCAATCGAAATGTCTAACCTATCCCATAACCCCAACATGGTACCTTGGCACATTTTATAGCCATCATACTTTAGCCAAATAAATAGTCCACTAAAGCATGACACAGGCTTCACCTCCTTTGATCTGAACCTGAATTCCCCAGCACCTTTGGCACCAAGTCCTCTTCTTAAAAATCAACAACCTATTCAGTGGCAGAGGTTTCAGCCCACACATCTGTGTTCCTTGGGCTCATGCACCCCAGCTCAGGTCTATACTCTATTAGCTGAAACAGATCTGAGAAGCCATCAGCCCAGCTCTGCCCCCTGTTCACTAAGGGGGAAACTGATGCCCCATTGCAAAGGCTGTTGCCCCAAACCTACACCTTCCCTGTCCATGTGGTGTAGACAATTGAGCTCAACACTTTGTGACTCAACCATTGAAACGAGCTGCTCAGACCAGGAACAAATGGCTCCAAGTGGCTTCCCCTTTTAGGATCAATTTAAGTGCACTGACACAAACAGTTGAGAGCTATAGACCGGGAAAGCTGGGGGGCATGCAGGGGGGTGTAAGCAGAAGGGCTCATGACTGCATTAAAGCCCCACCCCTCTTCTTTTGAACTGAGAAATGTGAAGTTCGGTTGACACAGAGGGGTGGCAAATGTGAGTCAAGACTGAGGTGGCCCCTGCGTAGTGGTCATCTGGGACCAACCCCGGCTGTTAAGTAACCATCTTCCTGACTTATACAACCCGAGCAGGTAATCTTCATCAGCCCTCACCCGGGGGAAGTTTTAAGATGCAGTTGTGAGTGTCCCTTGGGCACACAGCACAGAAGGGGCACACAAGATTGGAACTAACACTGCCCTTTCCATCCTTCCAGAGGACTGTGAAACAGAATCCGGGGAAAGAAAGCACCCAAGAAAACATTGTCTTCCTACCCAAAGAGAAGTAGCCTCACACTTGCAGTACACCTTAGGGGTTAGCAGCAATGGATGGAGCGATGAAACAAAAATGCTTACTATCAGTGATTTATTCTATCTGAACTGACAGTCATTACAACAACTATCCTGCCCCCCACATACACTCACACAGACTCTTGAGCCCGAAGCAGCTAGTAGAAGAAACGGGACAAGTGTGTTAGGAAGAATTGGCTTGGTGGAGGGCAGAGGAGCACCTAGGTTTTCAATCCTGGTCTCCCATTCTCTACCCTTGTGACCTTGATTAAGTCATTCAATCTCTGAGCCTCAGTTTCCTCATCTGAGCTATGGAGAAAGGGGGTCCTACTTCCTGGGGTGGTTTTAAGGCACACTGCCCAATACAGCCTGGACATCAGTTGTCCCCCCAAAGATACGTGCGAACCCAGGTTGCATACATATCGATATCTAGACCAAACAGGTCTCTTGCCTGCACGTCAAGCCCGCATCTGCCTCTTTAGGTCTTGAAGGCTCCTAGGCAGTTTGGCTTTCAGGCAGGATTTGAAAGCTGGGACGCCCTGATGGTTTCCAGGCTCTGGGTGGGAGCCGGGGAGGGGGATCAGAGGCGGCCTCCAAGCCCTGGAAAGGGGCTTTGTTCCCGAGGCGAAGGGCCTGGCTTACCGAGAAGAGCATCCGGAGGCGGGCGGGGGGCGCGCGGGGCACGCAGCAGAGCCACAGCCCGGCCCGGGCCCGGGGCGCCAGAGCCAGAGGAAGGCGAGGAGGAGGAGAAAGAGGAAGCTGCCGCCGGCTCCTGCCTCATTCTCCCGGGCAGCGCTGACTCGCTGGCCGCCGCGGGCTGGGGCTGGCCGCTGGGCGCGGGACCCCGAGCGCGCTGTTCATGTCCCTGTCCGCCGCTGGCGAGGTGTGCGCGCAGCCGGGTGGTCTCCAGGCGACACCCAGGGGCTCCTCATGCCCCGCGCCGGGGCTCGGCTGGAGGACCTCGGGGGAGCAGCGCGGAGGAAAAGAAGGAGAAAAAGAAAGCGTGAGAGCGCGCAGAGCTGCGCCCCGCGGGGCCAGGGACAGGCGGGCACCAGCAGGACCGCGCCGCCCCACCCTACGCGCCTTGACTCCCCGCGCCGCGCGCCCGGTGGGGCGCCGAGCCCCAGAAACTTTAGCACATGGCCAGTTCGGCGGCCACGGTGACCGGAGCGTGTCGCCCGCCCCCCACTCCCACACCGCCCCAGCCCAGGACCTGGAGCGCGGCTTACCGGCTGCTACCGCGACCGTGACCGCAGCGGCGGGTCGCCCACCTGGCCGCGCGCAGAGCAGCGGGCACCAGCTGGGAAGGAGGAAGGGGCTGGTGGTGTTGGGGTCTCTGCAGGGGAGGGACACCTCGGGGGCCGCGATCGGTGTCTTTAAGTCATCCTGGGAGGGGGCTGAGCGAGAGCCTGGCGTCTGCAGCCCCGGATGGGGGAGGGTCCGTGCGCCCCCCGCCCCGCGGCGCAGCTGCTGACGACGCGCGCGGGCTTCCCCGGCCCCGGGTCTGCGGAGCTAGCCTGTTACCTAGCGACTCGCTCCGGGGAGCCCACGCTGACGCGTGCGACGAGCTAGGCTGCGGCAGCCGAGAGGAGGGGGAGCTCCGGTGAGCGGGGGGCGGGGAGGGAAGGCCGGCGGCGGTGGCCCGAGCTCCTCCCTCCGCCTCCCACTCTGAGCTGGGGAGGGAACCTGGAGAAGACGTGGCTTCATCCTGGCGCTGGAGGATGAGGGCCCTGCACTGGGCGGGGGTGGATAGAGAAAGGCACGATGATGCTCGTTCTGAGCTGGGGCTACAGCAGCAGGTGGCGGCGACGTGGACCGTGGAGGCCCGGCACCCATAGGCCCTCCGAGACCCCTGCGGGAGCTCGGCAAATGTGGCTATGGGTGCGTGGGTGTGTGTGACACGCTTCCACCCACGTGGCATATATGAGGACCTGGGGATATGGGTGAAAGTAGCGCCTCCTCCTCCCTCTGGTTTCCCTCCCTCCTTCCTGGACATTTTGCTCAGGCGCTGACTGACTTCATCATGGAAGCTCAGGTCGCTTAGCTCCCAGCTCTGAGCTCCTCCTACCTTCCAGAGAACCGGAGGGTGGCCCAGCTTGAAGGCAGCTGCATTGGGAAGAACCACTACCCCGCCCCAAGTCTGGTGGCCTTCCCATCCCTATATTCATTCGCCCGTCCTGGGGGCTCTGTAACCTACCCCGATGCCTGCCTCTTTCAGGATTTGAGCTCTCTCAGATCAACTGAGGTTCAAATTCCTGCCGGCCCCTCCAATTGTTTGCATTACAGTTACCTTTTTAAGTTGCTTAACATCTTCAGTAAAACGGAGTCTTTATGCCCATGGTAAATAGTTAATAATGGTGCCCAAGACCCTCCATGAATATGCTTTGTAAGGCAAGCAGCCTGTCTGCTGTTTGTCTCTCCAGAACATACCCCCATGCCCAGGTGAGAGGGGCAATGGCCTGGAAACATGACACTACAGAGGGACCCCTGGCTCTGCCGGTGAGGGTGGTTACTTGCCCAGGTCTACTGTGCCCCACAAGCTGCAATGGGCACAGAACACAGACTTCTCAGTTAGCAGATTCCCAGGCCTACCTCTGCCCAACTTCAACAGCAGGGTGCAAGCACTGTTCCTTCTGCATTTCTCAGAACTCCATCCACATACAGAAGTGCTACCCCTCCAGAGAGCAGAGAGCAAAAAACCACAAGGTTGGGAAGGGTGTGGCATGAGATAGGTCCTGGGGATGAGGTGGCAGGTGCTTCCTATTCCTATACTGTTGGAATAAGTTTCAGTCTCAGTTAGCAGCTACTAGCAGCTTGGAAGTGCCTGAAATATCCACCTTCCTTCAGGCCTGACAGGAGCGCCTGCAGGATGGGGTGAAACCACATCCTCAGCACTTGTGGTTAGCATTGCCAAAATGCCCGGTCAAGAAACTGAGAGTCAGGGGCTTGAGGGCATGAAACCCCTTGACTCAGTAAGGGCTAAAGACCCTTCCAGATTGCTTTCTGCTAGGACAGCAATATTTAGAGTTTCCTCACAGTGCAGTTACATTAGGCAGGAGATGATTGGCTTATGGATATTGCCTTGCTTATGTATGATTGACAGGCACGCCCCACTCAAACCCTATAACTGTTGTGTGCATTCCAAAAATAAACTGAGCTACTAGACAACCACTTGAGGCAGGTCTCCAGCCAGTTCTCTCACCAGCTCCCGGAGTCTGTGTGTGTTGATTCCGCGTCTCTACACCCCATGACAAGGTAGCCGAGTGACCATCGATCACGAAGGGACTAGGAACACATTCACTATACCTTCCTATTCCTATGAGGAAGCACCTGCCACCTCATCAAGCACCAAGCAGTTTTCTTGGCCCAGAGGTGGAACTTTTCCTCCATTTATTTACTGATTTTTGAGGTGACAGTAACTCCTGTTGAAACCCTACAAACCCATTCAAACAGAAACTAAGGTCCAAAGGCAACAATTTTCTGAAGACTGGTTTCGGCATTTCCCCGTGAAATTGGGAGTACACCTGAGTGTTCCATAGGCAATGGCAGCTGGCAGCTGGTCCACAGAAGCTCCAGAAGGACGATTTGCCGTGCCAACTTGGCAGCCTTCCAGATTGTTCTTTGTTCAGTCCTGACTTCCATGTGCAGGTACGATTTGACATCTAATCTGGTCAGGGAGTCTAGTGCTTCAATGAAAACTCAGAGCTTGTACTCCCTGAAGAGTCATATCCGGGCCCCACTGTTCCAGGAGATGAAGTAGCCTGAAGGGAAGGGTGATTTGATGGTGTGAGCAACTCAGTCACAGGGTGCTGAGGTTTGTGCTCATGGCCGTGGCTAGCACTTTCATCCAGGTATGTGCGGGTCTAAGGGAAGGAGGCAGCATTGCCATTCCTCAAATAACAGAAGTGGAGAGTGTTCAAGCCAGATGGGACTAAGAAAGTCCATGAATCCCTGGGACCACTTGGGGACTGTCCATCTGCCATACGGTGAGGAACATTTTGGGGGGACTTATAAGGAGCATTCACTTAAGTCACACAGTGTTAAGCACTAAGTATGAAGAGGTGGTTTGGATGAGCTCTCTGTCTTCTGAGACTCAATAAGGGCATTTATAGAGGGGTTAGACGCTGCCAAGTTCTCCAGGTATTGAGAACTCTATCTATAAGAAGCTCATTTTAACCTCACCGAACCCTCTAAGGAGATCCATTATCTTTTCATAAGAGAGAAAACTCAAAAAGTTAAGTTTCTGGAGACTATCATGGTATGTGGAGTAAGCCAATCCCCCCCCAAAACAAAGGCTGAATGTTCTCTCTGATATGTGGATGCTGACTCAAAATAAGCAGGTGGGGGAGGGAAGAATAGAAGTAGACTGGATTAGGCAAAGGAGAATGAAGGGAAAGGAGGTAAATGAGAACAGGAAGGACAGTGGAATGAGTGGGACATAACTTTGCTATGTTCATATATGAATATATGACCAGTGTATCATCTACAACCACAAAAATGGGAAGTTATACTCCACATACATATGATATGTCAAAATACATTCTGTCGTGTATAACTAAAAAGAACAAATAAATTTTTTTAAAAATGTTAAGTTTCCTAAGGTCATACGGTTGACAAATGATGGACTCAGGTAATTATACTTAGTCTTTCTGATTCTAAAGCCCAAGTTGCTATAACCATCCTCTTACTGTCTGCCAGGTTAAAGAAAAATTGGGGCAATAATAATACAAATAATACCTACCGGATGTCAAGGATTACAATGAAATGTGTGTATGGGGTCCCCAGCATAGTTCCTGGAACAAAATAAATTCTCTGTAAAAGACTGTTGTAAGCATTGTCATTAGGCCCTTGGTGTGGTATTGAACTGATATGTTCTATCTTACAGAGATTACCAAGTGCTACTCTTGGAGGCATGGAAGAAAATGACTACCTGTCAGTGGGGGACTGCAGCTGGCTACACAGAGGAGGAGGCATCTGAGTTGGATCTCCAAGGGCAAGTAGAGGTCGGGCAGGTGGAGAAGGCAGGTGCAAGATTGAGCTGACTAGGAAGAATATGTAAGGGGAACACAGAGTTGTGGACAAGCATCTGGAAAGAACCAAGGTAGGAAAGCATGAGGTTGGGCAGATGCAGCAATCCCAGGGCTGCTGAAAGACACAGGTGGAGAAAATGCCCTGAAGCTTTGGAGGGGCTGCCCTTCTCCTGAGACTTGAGGGAGAGGAGGAGCCCATGGTCCCTAGTAGTGCTGGCTCCCTCCTTGAAGTAGCAAGCAAGGCCATCTGCTGAGCTTGGCCTTTGAGGTGGGTAATAAGCCAGAAAAGAGGGTCAGCCTCCTGGCAACCACCCAAGCAAAGACTTAGTGGCTGTGAGTGGGTCAGATACTTCCTCCCATCACTCACGAGGACAATGGAATAATGATTCCTGCCAGCCTTGCAGGGACGTGGTGAGGCATGTAGTACACTATACCAAATACCACGTGTGTGCCAGAGGCCTTGATGTCCTGTGGTGTGCACGTTCAAATGAGAGGCATAGATAACACACATGTTCTCAGTGTTTTGCAGACATGAGACTATTGTTTCTACAACCCCTTGATTCATCTGTGCATTCATTCATTTGGTAAATGTCTATGGAGACCTCAGTGCTCTATGACATCAGGCATTCACAGTAACTGTTGGTGCTGTGCTCAAGTTACTCAGATTTCAAGGTGAAAGGCACTAGTCAGTGGGATCATGTGACCATATCCGGACCAGATCTGTAGTGTCTGAGGGTCACATGGTTGTACAAAAGAGGGTCCCTTCCTTGGACCAAGGGGATTGAGGGAGGGTTCCCAGAGAAGGTGATTTCTAAGGTGAGTCCTGAGAGATGAGTGGGAGTCAGTCCAGGGAAGGGGAAATGTTTTGGGGGGGGGGGAGAAGGTTCCAAGTACAGGAGCTGAATTTCACTTGTGAAGACTCAGAGATGAGTTATGGGAAATTTCAATATGAGGAAACAGAGGCCATGGAGAAAAATCAAACCTTGTGCAAGTTAGAGGAGAGAAAAAAAAAAAAAGTACAGTTCAGCCAGCTAGATGTGTGATGGGGGAGTGAAGTTAGAGGAATCCAAGATGGAGGAAAGAATTCCCTAGAAATGGCCTAGGAAGATTTGGAAGCATCACTCCTCTTACGACTCATTATCTGCTTTTAAGTTTTTTGAAGGGTGTCCATATTGTTCTTGCAATGGCTGTGTTAATAATCCACAGCTCCATCCCACAGTACACGAGACGACTTCTTTCTCCTGGTCTTCACCAGCATGATTTTATATTTCATTTTTGTTGTTGCTGTTATTGTTTTGTTTTATAACAGGGTCTTGCTAAGTTACTGATTTTGGCCTTGAATTTGTGATCCTCCTGCCTCAGCCTCCTAAGGTGCTGGAACTCTAGGCATGCATCCCAGCTGTTTGTTTATTTTTTAATCACAGATATTCTAACAGATGTGAGGTGATATCTCATTGTAGCTTTAATTTGTACTACTCTGATCATTAGCAATGTTGAATATTTTTCATTTACATGTCTTCTTTTAAGAAATATGTTTAGGTTTTTTGCCCATTAAAAAAAAAAAAAAACATGATCCAGCAATCCCACTACTGGGAATATATCCAGAGAAAATG